CTGGCACTGGCCCTATCTGGGTTGGTCCAAACCCGGAGGAACAGTGCACCAAGAGACAGTGCCAAACTGAGATCTGTGAGGTGAGGCTGTGAGGTCGTAGCCCCTCCGGTTAAAGAATACGCTAAGATAACATTAAATGAGCTAAGATAACATTAAAACAAGCCATCTGGAACCAGTGTAGTGTCTGATTGTATTTTACAGTGATCTAATCAAAACAGAAGGTAAGGGGAGAAAAAAATGTAAGGAGATATATTTGTCCAAAGAAAGCATATTGAACCGCCATGACCAGGGCTTTTGTGAATGAGCAACAGTAATGATTTAATGATCTTAATTGAGTAATCATTCATACATACACAGCCCATACTTCCACCTATTAAGTACATACACCTACAGACATATCCATAATGTACATATGTAAATATACAAAATACATGTATAACACTAGTAATGACAGTGCTATACATACATATATTTATGTGTATACACACACACACACACACACACACACACACACACACACACACACACACACACACACACACACACACACATACATATATATATATATATATATATATATATATATATATATATATATATATTATATATATATATATATATATATATATATACATAGACATATATAGACATATATAGACATATATATATATATATATATATATATATATATATATATATATATATATATATATAGACATATAAATTTATTTTATATTTATATACATACATACATACATATATAGATAGATAGATATATAAACATACATATACGTGTATATATGTATATATATATATATATATATATATATATATATATATATATATATATATATATATAATATATATATGCACACACACACACACACACACACACACACACACACACACACACACACACACACACACACACACACACACACACACACACACACACACACACACACATATATATATATATATATATATATATATATATATATATATATATATATATTCATTTTATTTATTTATTTATTTATTTATTTACACACACACACACACACACACACACACACACACACACACACACACACACACACATATATATATATATATATATATATATATATATATATATATATATATATATATACATGTACACACACACATACACACACACACGCACATATATACATACACATACACTTCATCATCACTAACTTTTCCTGTATGTGTGTGTGTGTGTATGTGTGTGTATGTGCGTGTGTATGTGTGTGTGTGTGTGTGTGTGTGTGTGTGTGTGTGTGTGTGTGTGTGTGTGTGTGTGTGTGTGTGTGTGTGTGTGTGTGTGTGTGTGTGTGTGTGTGTGTGTGTGTGTGCGTGCGTGCGTGCGTGCGTGCGTGTGTGTGTGTGTGTGTGTGTGTGTGTGTGCGTGCGTGCGTGCGTGCGTGCGTGCGTGAGTGCGTGCGTGCGTGCGTGCGTGCGTGTGTGTGTGTGTGTGTGTGTGTGCGTGTGCGTGCGTGCGTGCGTGCGTGCGTGCGTGTGCATATCTATCTGCATGTTTACTAGACTGTGTACATCGCCCCTCACGCAAGCCACTTAACACGATGTATATTCATTCTGCTTATTATAACTCTATTAAATGGGGCATTCCTACGAACCCACACACATGCCCACACGTCAACTCTTCTCTCCTTCTCCGTTCCTCCTTCGCACATGCACTGCTGGATAAAAGTTCGATCATATTAGAGAAAAGATGTTTGTTAGTATATACGACAACACGTAAATAAAAAGAATGATATAATTATTAGATAAACGGGTAGGGAGCCATGGAGTGATTAAAAAATAAATGTATTTCTTGTCTTACAACTTTTGGCAATTTTGTCGAGTTTGAATTTATTATAATAATAATCAACGGAAGGGGAGGGGAGGGGGGGGGAGTTTCAGGAAAGAATAAAAATAATAATGTTAAGAACTAAGAATTGAAATCGAAACTAACTGTTACCTTCCCAGCAGCGATTATCTTTGTACTTATTAATGTTCATATTAATGATAATACGAATAATGATGAAATAATAATAGTTATAATTATTACATAATAATGATAATCGTATTTACGTTATTAATAATAATAATAATGATACTGATGACAATAATAACAATAATGATAATAAAATGAAGTAATATAAATAACAATAATGAAAACTAATAATATATTGATATATTAATATATTAATTGATAATGATATCAATCAATAAAGATATGAGCAATGATGATAATCGTATTATAAAGGATGATAATCATAATCATGATAATAACAATGAAAATGCAGATAAAAAGAACATTGGCATTAACAATTGCAATAATAATTATGGTAATAATAATAATGAGACTAATAATGACAATCTAATAATGATAATAATGATGATAATATAATGTGTATCAATAAATAAAACTACAGTATGATAATAATGTTAATGATAACACTGATGATAATAATGATATTGATAACATTGATAATAATAATGATAATGATAACATTGGTAATAATGATAATAACAATTATAATAATAACAATATCATTATCATCTCTAATGATACTACTACAACTAATGATAAGGATAATAACAACAATGATGATAATGAGGTATAGAGAAGGGTGAGCTTAGGCTGTAAGCTGTTGAAGTGATGATGTGATAACAATGTTGCTCCTTGGCTAATGTCTGTCCGATTGTATGTGCTCTAAGGATATCTCTTTATCCTGATCGTTGGCTCTTTCCTATCCCTTTTATCCTTATCGTTTAGTCATTCCTGTTCCTTTGATCGTTGTTAGCTCTTTCCTATCCCTTTATCCTTATCATTAACTCTCTCCTATTCCTTTTATCCTAATCGTTAGCTCTTTCCTATTCCTTTGATCGTTATCGTTAGCTCTTTCCTATGCCTTTTATCCTTATCATTAACTCTTTCCTATTCCTTTTGTAGCCTTATTAGTAACTTTTTCCTATTCCTTTTATCCTTATCATTAGCTCTTTCCCAATCCCTTTATCCTTATCATCTAACTCTATCCTATTCCCTTTAACATTATCATTAATCTTTATCCCCTTTATCCTTACCATTAACTCTTTCTATCCCCTTCATCCTTATCATTAACTCTTTCCTAATCCTTTTATCCTTATCATTAACTCATTCCTAATCCTTTTCGTTACCACACCATAGTGCTCTATGACCTTGATGGCTCGATCATTCATTCATTACACCTATTAACCATCTAAGGATAAATATACACCACGTATTTAACATGTAAACACAGGCGCGGAATGGCAAGTACAACTTTACATTCATGTCTCTTGAGGTACATAACCATACATAAATAGAGCAATAGCAGCATATTCATCTCGGCAATGCAGAAGGGGTGTAACTCAGCAGCGTTAATGATAGTAATGATAATAATGATGCTTATAATGATGATAATGACAATGGTATTGTCGAAACGACAACAATAATGGTGATAGTATTATCATCATTGATCATAATCTTCATCGTCATCGCAGTACTGATAATAACAACAATAATGACCATGATCACCATCAGAATATTAATGAAGTAATGATAATAATAATGGTAATTATGATATTGATTCTAAATATTATGATATTAGTAATGATAATGAGAACAGTATTCATTACTAATAGTAAAAACTAATAATAATAATAACAACAATACTAATGATGGTAATAATAGTAGTCGTAATTATAATGACGATAATAGTAATAATGAAATGATAATAATAATGATAATACTAATAATAATATCAAAATGAAAATAATAATAATATGAGAAGGATAACAATAGCATTAGGGAAAATATTGATGTTAATATCAGTAACAATACCAATGATAATAGTACTAATAGTAATGATAACAATAATGACAATAGCAACAATAATAACAATAGTGATGATTTGCAATGATGATATCAATAATAACGATAATGATAATAACAATGATAATGACAAAACCAAAAATGATAACGACAATTGCAGTGTTAATCCAAATGATGACATTTAAATAGCATCACGATAATAGTAATAATAGCAACTACAACAAAATAATGATAAATAAGAAAAATAGATATAACGATGGTGATGGTCATCATCATTATCATCATCCATATTATACTAACAATAGTGATGATAATGATAAATATAATGATAATAATAATAATAATAATAATATAATATAATAATATAATAATAATAATAATAATAATAATAATAATAATAATAATAATAATAATAATAATAATAATAATGATAACAATGAAGATAACAATCATGACAATAATAATAATCAAAAAAGTGATAATGATGACAATGATAAAACAATAATGATAGAAATAATAATATTAATGATAATGATAATAATAACATAATAACAATAATGATATTGATGATAAAAGCAGTAACAATGATAATAACAACTGATATTAAGGGTAATAATAATAGTAACCATCATTATCATTATACTTATTATTATCATCACTGTTGTTATTATTGTTGTTATGACTATAATGATAATAAGAACGATGATAATAATAAAAGTAATCATGGAAATAAAAATAATGATAATAAAATAATGATAATAAGATAATAACAATAAATAATAATAATAATAGTAAACATAATCATAATGATAATAAAAAATAATCATAATAATAATACAATATCATTATTATTAATAGCAATAATAATAATGATCCTAAAAATGACAAGAATAATAATTATGCAAAGCAACAATAATAATGATAATAAAAAAAATAAGAATAATGATAATAATTGTAATAATAATGTAAATGATAATAATAATAATAATAATAATAATAATAATAATAATAATAATAATAATAATAATAATGATCATTGTTCTGAATATTAGTGTTATCATTATTGTTATTATTGTTATTACTATTAATATCATTATTATTTTTGTTATTATGATCATTATTATCATCATTGTTATAATAATCATTATTATCATTATCATTATTATCATTATTATTATTATTATTATTATTATTATTATTATTATTATTATTATTATTATCATTATCATTATCATTATCATTATCATATCATTATCATTATCATTATCATTATCATTATTATTATTATTATTATTATTATCATTATCATTATTATTATTAATCATCATTATTCATTATTATTATTATTATTATTATCATTATTATTATTATTATTATTATTATTATTATTATTATTATTATCATTATTACTATTATTACTTTTATCATCATACTAATAGTCAAAATGGTAACAATTTTGATAATAACAGTGATGATAAGAGTGATAATGAAAATGACAATACGATTATGATTATGATTATGATTATTGTTATTATCATTAGTTTCATTATCACTAATGATAATGAAAATAATTATGCTAACGGTATTGATGATAAAAATGATAATAATAATGACGATGATAATTATAATGGTGATGTTAATATCTATAATGATCATGATAATAATAATAATAACAATACTAATGATAGTGATAATGATAATGATCATGATAATGATAATAATGTCAATAATATTAATAACAGTAATAATGATAATAATAATGATAATGATATCAATAACAATAATTATCAACATCATCATGATATTATCAAAGATAATGATAATAATTATTTTTTATCATAATAATAATGATATTAATCATAATGGCAATAACGATATTAACAACAAGAATGATGATGATGATAATAACAATAATGAAAATAACAATGATAGTACTACTACTACTATTAGTACTACTACTAATACTACTAACAATAGTAATGAAAATAATAATATCAATATAATTTTCTCAATAATAATAATAATAACTTTAATGATAATAGTGATCATAATAGTAATTATAACAATGAGCAGTAGTACTGATGATAATAATAACCATGATAATTTCAACGATAATATTGATGATGATAATGATAATGATAATGATAATAATAACGATCATAAGAACAATGACATTAAAAATAATAAGGATAAAAAGAATGATCATTAGAACAATCATATTAACAACAACAATACTAATAGCATCAGGGATTCAAGCATAACTTACAACTCCAAAATGTATTTTTTTTTCTCAGGGATAAGACTCAGAATAGTGAATCAGTTTGGACTTCGAAGAGCAAAGAAGGAGACGAAGAAGAAGAAGAAAGAATAACAAAAGAGGCAAACTACCATCATGTACCTTCTGGTGTTCCTTGTCTCCACTCTGTCGGCCAGTGAGGTGAGTGCGCTATCGTCGTGCTAACTCTGTATACTGAAGTGACAAGTCCGCATGTATATCAAATGACCTTTTGGAAATCGTGAATACTATAGATGGCTATGGTCATGACAGTAGCATATGCTATAGACTTTTCAAGGAAATTTCATTGGAACAATCTGAGGAATGAATGGATGTAGAGGAAGCACATTATTCTTAATCAAGTCATAAATCATGAGGCATGTTCTGGGCTTCAGATGGCGCCCGACTACTACAAGTACACTCGTACTCACACACACACACACACACACTCACACACACACACACACACACACACACACACACACACACACACACACACACACACACACACACACACACACACACACACACCACGCACACACACACACACACACACACACACACACACACACACACACACACACACACACACACACACACACACACACACACACACATATATATATATATAGACACACACACACACACACACACACACACACACACACACATATATATATTTATAAACATACACACACAAATATATATATATATATATATATATATATATATATATATAATATATATATATATATATATATATATATATATATATATATATATATGTATACATATGTATACATCTATGCGTGTGCGTGTGCGTGTGTTTGTATCTTAAAATCTCAGCTTGACGGGACTTCCCTGCATCCCCCCCCCCCCCCACTGCAGGTCATCGGAGCAAAGCGTCGGTGCGAAGAGGTCACCGTCTTGCAGAACGAGATGCAGACGCTGAAGGAGGAAAACCAGCTCCTCCACGGCGAAGTGACGACCCTCAGGACCGCCGTCGAGAACCTGGGACAGAGCCTCGAGGGACTCTCCAAGGTGGTCGCGAGATCCTTGCCAGAAGACTGCAGCCAAGCCAAGGCCAGAGGGGCGTGGTCCAAGGTGACGTTGGTAAGGGGAAGATCACTGTAGTTTGTGGCGTTGTGGACATTGTCTCTCGTCATTTATTTCCGCGATTTGTTTTCAGCTGTTCAGTAAGCATGTAGAGTATGTATGACATGAAATCTCACTTCTTTTCATAAACATGCTTGTTTACACTTGAGCCCCCCTACATGCCTGCCTTTGAGGGAAAAAGAGTCCCGCACTGATGGCACAGACAGCCCACTTACAGACAAGGACCCGCTCACTACCATCTGCGTGCCCACCCAGGTCGCGCCGCCGGGCATGGAGCCTCGGGAGGTGGCCTGCGACCAGCAAACGGACGGCGGCGGGTGGACGCTCGTCCTGGCGCGGCACCCCCCGTCGGCCCCTCGCCACCACGCCCGTCACGAGCAGCAAATTCATAGGATAGGATTCAACACGAGCTGGGAGGATTACAAGAAGGGTTTCGGCGACGTTCGAGGGGAATTCTGGCTGGGTGAGGCGCCCCAACGGGAGTTCTCAAAGTTTACAGGAGATATAGGCTGAGTTTTTGAAACCTTGATCAAATCACCATTTAATATTTCCCTTCATTATCAATTTTCAAGTTCGTTTCTTTTCCAAAGGACCAAAAACCTTTATAATAGTATAAAAGATAAAAGTTCTCCATTTCTCCAGGTAACGAAGTCCTTCACGCACTCACACGCGATGTCCCGCACCAAGTCCACGTCCACCTCACCGACTGGGACGGAAACACCGCCTACTCCACCTGGGATTACTTCAGGCAAGTCACTTGTGCCTCTCTTTCCTAGTACGGCTCAGGGGTTCTCAGTGTCAGTAGGTGACTCAAAGAAAGGGGGATGAAGGCCTTAGCACATCATGTAGTATCGTAATATGAAATGAACCAGCACACTTATGTGTATGCTTCAGTCTATGAGGCAATGATTTTTTTACCTTGATATTTTTATGCGCTATCTCTGGCGAATACTCATTTAAACATTCATTGAACAAAAAACATGAATATAAAAAAGAGTAATAGTTGTATCTCAGATTTGACCAGACATCATTGTGGGATGTCCCCCTCCCCGCACCCTCTCCCTGTAGTTACGCCTCCTGCAGCATAAAAATCCAAAAGAAACCTTTTCAGTACAAGTTACATATATCACTTTCAATGAGATGTATCTGATGAATAACACGCAAGTCAGTTCAGAAAGAATGCAGTAATTGTTAATGCATATTTAAGGCCAAAAGATGCTGCAGTATTCATTATTTTTTGAGTTCATGATAAAAGGAAATGATGTTTAGGTGAATTTTCAATGGTCTTTAGATAATACTCATTGATACTTTTATATATCATTCCATAAATAGGATACCATCTCTTACTTTTTTTTCGTCATCACCATCACCATTGCTCTCGCCATCCTTATCACCTCTACCCAATGCCACGCCACAGGGTATCCAGTGAAACCGACAAATACCGGCTGAGCGTGAAGGAATACCGGCCGGATAGCACAGCGGGCGACGGCTTCCATCACCACAACAGCCATGCCTTCTCCACGTATGACTTTGACAACGACGTGTATCCGGGTGGGTCTTGAGTCAATGCTTGAGAGAATTTGTGGTTTAATTTGCATTTTATTTCTTCTTTTCTTTTTTTGTTTTGTCTGATTTGCATATTTGTTTTTTCTCTTATCATTTGTCTTGCTTGATTGCAGATTTGTTTTTTCTCTAAATATTTGTCGTTTGATTTGCATTTATTTTTGTTTTTATTTATTTGCTTGTCTTGTGTGATTTGTCCTTATTGCTATTTTTTTCTCTTGTGGTTATTGTTTTTTTTTATAGTTCTTGATATAAGGAGTGACTGACGAGACGCCATTCCTTCCGTGATGAATAAGCCTCCACAGAACAGCTCCTTATATTATTACTATTAATAATGTCATCATGCACGATGCCCTGTGACTAACAATTATGAATGAGCTTCCTTCCTTCACAGTCTCATCCACCCTCCCTCCAAACGCAGTCTCCCCCTCCCCCTCCCTCCCAGCACAGTCTCATCCCCTCCCCACCCTCCAAATGCAGTCTCCCCCTCCCTCTCCCTCCCAGCTTAGTCTCACCCCCTTCCCCTCTCTCGACACAGATCACTGCGCCCGGCTGTTCGGGGGAGGCTGGTGGTACTTCAAGTGCTACGAATCCCACCTGACGGGCGAGGCTCTGCGCCAGGGCCAGGAAGACCACCACGGCCTCGTGTGGATAACGTGGCAGAGCTTCCGGAGCCTCAAAGCGGCCACCATGATGATCCGACCGCGAGTCCGGCCGTGTAAGCTGGGGCAAGTGTGCGTCAAGCCTCTGGAAGGGCGGTGAAGGTCCTGCGCCAAGCATGCGGCTTCAGATGATGGGTTTTTGAACGTGTTAGAGCAGAGAGAGTTAATAAACATATAGACGTGATTGTGTGTGTGTAAGTGTAACTGCGCGCGCGCGCGCTTGTGTGTGTGTGTGTGTGTGTTTGTGTGTGTGTGCTTGTACGTGCTTGTACGTGCACGTATGTGTTTAAGCAAATAATGAGTTTTGATTGATTAGATACTGTTGTTAGTGTATATGGTTACTATACATTTGAAGAGATTGATTTTTATATTTAATCCAGGAAATAGATACCTTTTGTCCCGGATATGTTTCCTTTACCATGGCGGGGGCATCTGCACTAGCTCTATCTGTATCTCTATTAGTATGAAGAGGGGAGAAAGAGAGAGAGATACATGTGTGTG